ATCGATCCAGCCTGGCCAGGTCCCTCTCTAGAGCCTCCTGCCCTCCAGCAGATCCCCTGCCCAACTTGGTGTCATCTCCAAACTGACTGAGGGTGCCTCGATCCCCTTGACCATGTAACTGTTATTTAAGAGAAGAGACCCCAATACTGAGCCCTGGGGCCACCACTTGTGACTGGCCACCAACTGGATTCAACTCCATTCCCCAACACTCTTCGAGCCCAGCCATCCAGCAGGTTTTTAACCCAGCAAAGTGTTGGTCCATCCAAGCCATGAGCTGCCAGTTCCTTCAGGAGAATGCTGCAGGAAGCCGTGGCAGAAGCTTTATTAAAGCCCAGGCAGACAACATCTACAGGCTTTCCCTCATCCACTCAGCAGGTCACCGTTAACAGGCAGCAGATCTGAGCCGGGCTGGCCTGCCAGCTTCTCTGCTCACCTCTGACAGATATTGACATATTTAAACACGAACTGGAGTAGAAAAACACCCCCAGATGTTGCTGGCCGTTGGGTGACGGGATACCTGATAGCTGCAGGACCCACTGTTCCCTCTTCTCCAGGGACTGACATTTCCCCCGCGACATCACCGCGGCTCCGGGGAGCAAACACCCGGGGGCTTCTCGGAACAGCCTCTCCTGGCATGGTTATTCACCAGCTCCACACTCTGCTCCAGCCACCCCGGCCACGCTGCTGCCTCCTGGAAACCAGAGTCACACCAGGGGGCACGGGGGGCAGTGCCCCACCCCTGACCAGCGAGCAGTCCCTGACCCCTGCACAAGGTGCTAAAACAGGGTGGGTTTGGGCAGTTGGTGCCTTTGGGGGAGTAAAAGTCCTTTAAGCTTCTCCTGGAGTGGCCCATCGAGGTTCTGCCTTGTTTTGCTCAGAAGCAGGGATGGGCTGTGACCTCTCCTCTTCCCCATCTCCTCTTCCCCATCTCCTCTTCCCCATCCCCTCTTCCACATTCCTTCTTCCACATCTCTTCCCCATCTCCTCTTCCCCATCTCCTCTTCCCCATCTCCTCTTCCCCATCTCCTCTTCCCCATCCCCTCTTCCACATTCCTTCTTCCACATCTCTTCCCCATCTCCTCTTCCCCATCTCCTCTTCCCCATCCCCTCTTCCACATCCCCTCTTCCACATCTCTTCCCCATCCCCTCTTCCCCATCTCCTCTTCCACATCTCTTCTTCCTCACCTCCTCTTGCCCATCTCCTCTTCCACATCTCTTCCCCATCTCCTCTTGCCCATCTCCTCACCTCCTTTCTACACTAGCCCTCTGCTTAATCCAGGGATATTTCATGCCTGCACCTCAGGCAAGAGCTGGAAGAGCCTCCCAACCAGATCCTCTCACAGCCTCGTCCACCTGAGAAGGTGAGAAACCTCCCAGAGCTCTGGCACCTGGCTGTGCAGCACCAGGCTGGTACCCAAACGGGCACCCGGGTGTGACAGCTCTTTGTCACACCTCTAGCTCACCAAAACAATCTGCTGAACTTTTGAAATTTTGGTAGAAATGGAAAGAAATTATTTGGCAGAAAATAAGATTCATCCGACAACACCCATCCGGCTCTATGCTCAGCAGCAACGAGGGGAAAACGTCCCCTTGGTGTAGGGCAGAACTCTCCCAAGCTGTCCCCTCCACCCTGTTCACTGTGGCTGAGGCTGCAGAGCCAGGCAGGACAATCAGGTGGAGACAGCAAATTCCACCATGGAGAAGCACCCACCTGATTTGGGATGGCTCTTCCAATGATCAAGAAACTTTTATTTGCAATAAAGAGCAAAATAGGGTGAAATGATTGCGTGGTGATTTCATCCCCAGGAAAACAACCCCCCAACCTTTACATCTATGTATCAATGACTACGATGAGGTCACACCATGGTGAACACTTGTGCATTTATGCATGGAGAAGATGCAGAGATGTTGTTGTGATCATGACCACGTCTATACATTTTAAACAGCCCCCCTGCTATATAAGGGCCGGCTCAGCAGTCGCCTTCTCCAGCCTAGAGGACAGGAGGAAGCCCTCGCTGCCAAGCCACACCTGAGCAACTCACCCAGCAGAAATGGCTCCAGGTATTTCTCTTTATTTTGGTTTTAAAGGGTGGCCAACGCTGCCCCACGCTCAGGGTGAGGGGAGATGATGGTGAGGAGGTGCTGTGGTGGGTTACACGCACTCGGCGCAAGCCCCCAGTTAAAATGTGGCAACTTAGAAAGCAATGGAAAGGAATCATTTTTCCCTGCAGTGTGAATTTCATTAATTAACTTCGATAGTCTTTAGCCTAAACTGGACAAGGAGAGGGTGAAGAACATCAAGGTCAAGCCACAGGGCCCCTCACTCCCAGCAGGACCCTGAGGGGTTGGAGCGTGGCCAGAGAAGGGCAACGGAGCTGCTGGGGAAGGGTCCAGAGCCCAAGTGTGGGGAGGAGCAGCTGAGGGAACTGGGGGTGCTGAGCCTGGAGCAAAGGAGGCTCAGGGGAGACCTTCTGGCTCTGCACAGCTCCTGACAGGAGCCTGGAGCCAGGGGGGGGTCGGGCTCTTCTTCCAAGGGTCAGGACAAGAGGAAACGGCCTCAAGTTGCCCCAGGGGAGGTTGAGGTTGGAGCTGAGGAACAATTTCTTTCCCTGGAGGGTTGCCCAGGGCTGTGCCAGGCTGCCCAGGGCAGTGGCGGAGTCCCCACCCCTGGAGGGGTTCCCAAGCCGTGGAGATGTGGGGTGAGGGACACGGGGCAGTGGGGACCTGGCAGTGCTGGGGGAGTGGTTGGGCTCCATGATCTGAAAGGTCTTTTAAAAAAAAAAAAAGATTCTATAGAAGTTGTCAGGGATATTAAAACTCATATTCAAAGGTTAAGACAGGGATCAGGACAACGTCTAACGCGTATGCCCAAGTCCTACAGGCTCCAGGGTGCTCCTCCACAGATGGGTATTGGTCTGAGATAAACGCTGGGGTCTCTAAGCACAGAAGACACTTGTGTAAGTTCAGTGTCACAGGCTGAAAACCTTTAGGCTTGGCAAAAGCCACCAAATTCTACAGGTATGCCCCAGGGAGCAAAAGTCGGTGGTCACAGCACAGGTGCCATCACCAGCTCCTGTCCTAGCGAAGGCAGGTCCCTGGTTTCCATCAGCAGCACGGTGTCAAGCCAGGCTGAAGTGAGCTACTCCCAGGCCCTGGTACCCACCAGCCCTGCTTGCCCATGCCAGGAGGAGTGCACCTTGTCTCCTCCTGAGGGAGAAACACAGGGACACGCTCGAGTTTTCATGGACACCTCTGCAGCCAGGAAGATCCTGCTTAGAACACTGGGAGCAGCCTGAGCCCCAAGGGCAGGGCTGGTGGAAGGGGACGGGGCTTCCTTTGAGTTTGGGGAGGGCTAAGCTGACCAGAATCCAACAAGACCTCAAGGAAGGTGAGCACTCAGCCAGCACAGGCTGGTGCCACCCCAGATGCCACCTCGGCGTGGTCACTGAGGGGCCACCAACACCTTTCCTCTCCACTTTGCTGCAGGGTCATGGTTTTCTCCTCTCCTCGTTGCTGCGATCGCTCTGGGGCTGCAGTGGCCACAGGAAGCTGCCACCTTCCCAGCCATGCCCCTTTCCAACCTGTTTGCCAACGCTGTGCTGAGGGCTCAGCACCTTCACCTCCTGGCTGCTGAGACATACAAAGAGTTTGTAAGTGTCGTGGCCTCCGGGCAGCTCCAAATTAGCCTGATGGTTTCAGGACGATGTAACTTCCTAGAAACAGACTCTTCAACCATTGGTCTTTTCTCTATCAGGTCTTGATGAGGAGAAAGGGTCTTAACAGGACAGGACAGGTCATGTCCCATCAGCCTGGGCCCCATCTCCTCCTCTCAGCCCTCTGTCCCTGCCTCCTGCACAGTCCCCTGTGTGGGCCACTGCTGCCCACCTCCACACCTCCTGCAGAGCTCAGCTGTCCCAAAGAGAAACCTGGCTCTGAAAGTGGTGGGAAGAGGGCCCAGATATTTTGCAAGACCTTCCTGTGTCGGTTGCCTTTGGCCCTGACCGATTCTACGTGCTTAAAACCACCCAGTCTCTGCTGTTGCCAGGAGCTGGCACGAGCTGTGACTTTGGCAAGAGCCAAAAGTGACCCTGGGGTCACCTGCTCCTTGGGAGAGCCTGGTCCAAGTGTGTTTGTGTTCACCTTAGCACCTTGGCTTAGTGAGAGGAAGACCGTTGGGTCCAGTGGCTGGGGGGCCCACAGACTATGTGCCAACCTTGTAGAGACCCCTCAGGTCTCACGTTGATTTATTTCAAAGAGTAACGGCTCGGGGCAGCTTGGGAAAGCATCTGTGGTCTTCTCCCTTTATGTGGGCAACAGATCTGAGGGTGTTTGGGCTGCCTCCACAGGAACGTACCTATATTCCAGAGGAGCAAAGACACGCCACCAAAAACTCCCAGGCAGCCTTTTGTTACTCGGAAACCATCCCTGCCCCCACCGGGAAGGACGACGCCCAGCAGAAATCGGTAAGTTCCCTCCCCCAGGCTGAGCACAGACCTGCCTGAGGAGCCCAGGTGGGACCAGAGGGTTCCCAGCTGTGAGCTCTTCGCTCCTCCTCACCCTTTTTTACTATTTGAACCCTGCACGAAGCAAGAAAAGCTCTCTGGGGTTACGCTGTGAGCTGCATTCCCTCTCCAAAGATGAGGAAAAACTACTGGGCATGTGGCTCAGCACTGCTCCTCATCCTGCAGACTCACCTGCCTCTGCTGAAGCTGCAGGAGCACGTCTCGGGGTCACCTCCAGGCTGTTTCAGGGGGTGACTCTATCAAACACTTTGTCTGCACAGCTCTGACTTTTTCTTTTCTTCACTCCAGGACATGGAGCTCCTTCGTTTCTCGCTGGTGCTCATCCAGTCCTGGCTGACCCCCGTGCAATACCTAAGCAAGGTGTTCACAAACAATCTGGTTTTTGGCACTTCAGACAGAGTGTATGAAAAACTAAAGGACCTGGAAGAAGGGATCCAAGCTCTGATGAGGGTAAGCTGGAGAATGCAGAATAACTACAGAACAACAGAGATCCCCTAGACACAGGGCACCCAGGTCTCGTGGGCTTCTACAGGATCCCAAAACCATGAGAAATCTCCCCCCCTCCCACTCTGAAGAGCAGTGGCAGCCTTTGGACTTTGCTTATCTTAAGATAATGTGCAGTGGGGTGTTGTGATCTCAAGTTTCATCACTGGGGAGCAGAAGAAAACACCTTACAAAAGTTAACAGTGCTGCTGTAACCACTCAGAGAGCAAACAGACCCAAAATATCACAACAGTCCAGACCCAGAGTCTTCCCAAACCCAGCACCAAAGGGCCCTCAGATGTTTAAACCTGCTGTAGAAGCAGCAACGTAATGTTTGCACATCTCTGTGCAAAACACTTGAAAGTGGAGGAAATCTTGTGAGGTTTTCAAGCTGGTTTTAAGAACTTGTGACCCTTTAGAAAACCAGCCCCTGTAAGTCTGTGTACGGGTGGAAGCCCAGGCTCTGATGTTTCTCTCTTGCACTAACACAGCACCCAGGCAGCTGAGAGCTGGAGAGTGACCTTCCTCAAGAGTTACTCATTAATTTTGCTGTGTTGTTTGAAATAAAATTGCCTATCAGCTGCCAGGACACCTTTTCAGTCAGGCTTCCTCTAGAATTAAGTTTCTCTGCCAGCAACACCACGTGGAGAGAGCTCCGAGACCTGTATCTGAGAAATTCATCTGGATAATTATTCACATGTTCTAGCATCTAAATAACTCTGAAAGTCAGGCCCTGAGAGCAAACAGAGATCTTGTGTCTTGGTGCTTTCAGCTGGAGTAAGCAGGGGTCTGCACCAGTTCCATTTCCAGATTTTGCTCTCCATTTGATGTCTGCTTGGGCATTGGGGAGCGGTGCACAGAAACTAGACAAAAAACCACATTTCATCCATTTATGATGCTGCCTGCTTAACTCAAACCGTCCTGTTCACCGAGCAAAGGAGGAGTGGCAGGCTGCACATCTTTCAGCTTCAGGTGCACACGGCTTGGGGCTGGGTTAGAGCTTTTTTCACTGGAAAAGTGGGAGAAAAGAGAGAATGATTTGCCCGGTTCCCTGTCTGCTCGGCTGAAATAGCCACAAAGAGACCCTAAAATTTTCCCTTTATTTTAAGACCCCAAATACACACTCCTCCCCCCCTGCAGCCTTGTGCCCAGCTCCCTTCTTGCCGGCAGCAATTTGTGCAGCATCACCTCTGCAGAATTAATCTTCCTGTAAACCTATGGGCTCAAAAGAACATTTGAAATACAGCTAAAAGGGGGGAGGAGGAGGAAAGCCTCGACCTCCTCTAAAGCTCAACGGCAAAGGTCCCCTTTGGAGGCTGCTCATCCCCAAAGCTCTCAGCACCTCTCCATCCTCTCGTAGGAGCTGGAGGACCGGAGCCCGCGGGGTCCCCTCATCCTCAAACCCACCTACGACAAGTTCGACATCCACCTGCGCAACGAGGACGCCCTGCTGAAGAACTACGGCTTGCTCTCCTGCTTCAAGAAGGACCTGCACAAGGTGGAGACCTACCTGAAGGTGATGAAATGCCGGCGCTACGGGGAGGGGAACTGCACCGTTTGACGCCGGGGATGGACCCCCCC